TCAGTAACACGGGGTGGTGGGGGCGCTCGGACCGGCCGGGCCGCGCCCCCCGCCCCCGCGGAACTTGTTCAGTCACCAGCGACCCCCGGGCTCCCCTCCAGACCTGCGGGCGGCAGCGGTTCTGGCAGGTGAGGGCTGGGCGCCCTGATTTCCAGGGAATACACCGAGCTGAGTGCTTGCAGGGAGCGAGAGCATCCAACAAGTTCCTAAATACATTGCTTTCTTCCCCCCCCGCCCCCCTCTTTTTTTTTTTGGGAGAGGGAGGAGCTGTAGTTTTGTAAAGAATGCATTGAATTTTGGGTTCATCAGAAATTTCACGACAGTTGTTTCTTAAACTTTTTCTTTTCTTTTTTAGTCCGCACCTGAGGATATTTTTTCCCTTGACTCCTAGAGAGAGTGGAAGGAAGGGGGAAGAGGAAGATGAAAGAGGGAGGGCGGAGGGGGAGGGAAACAGGAATTGGGAGCCCCCTACACGCGCTCCTGCGCCCCTACCGGGGCTGGGGTCTGGGGCCGAGGTACAGGTTCGTGCTCAGACCGGGAATCGAACCCGAGACCCTTGGGTCCGGGGACTGACTGACACGCTAACCACGGAGCTTCTTGACGCCCGTTCTGCTCACCCTGCTCTTCAGTCTTAACTGTACCGCCCACCTTGTGCCTGTCCTGTGGTGGTTGTGAGCCAAGAGTCTGGCTTTCCATGATAGAAGTTATGCCGCTTATGCTTTTGTTGTTTAAGGGAGATGCATGACAGTGCGAAATGCCTTTATTATTTGGAGCAGCAAATGCAGATGTTAGAAAAACATTTCGAGGTGTCTAGGGCGCAGTGTCTGTTTTTCAGCCTTTAACCTGCCAGTAGTCATGATCATGACTTGATGCCTTTCCTGCTGGTGCCGGCCGGGCCGTGGGTGGAAGGAAGGGAGGGCTCGCAGGGCAGCGGGAGAGGAAGTGGGTTTTCTCTGGGCGGAATAATTTCAGCTCCCCTCGGGGTGTTTGACCTTACAGAACTCATTGTGACCTCTAGCTCCCCTCAGGGTTCCGAGCAGCCTGCTCAAGTCCACTTTCCTTGGGGGGCATTTAAAATCGGACTGAAATTTGACTTCACCTCAAGGCTGAAAAAGAGTTAAGGACCTTTCTCAAATCAACTCCTTGGGCTTGGATGTGATGGGACTAGATATGGAAATGAAATAAATACTGAGCAGATTTTGTTGATGAGAGGAGTGAGCACTGTTTTAACACCCTCCTCCATCTCCTCTCTGTCCCCCTCCTCCAAACCCCCAGCACACAGTTGTTCCAGGTTCTGGCTGAACAATGAATTGAAGGAAGCAGAAGGGAAAGAGTTTTATTGGAAGGGGTGGTACTGGTGGAACAGTGCCTGATGGATGAAAGGATTGTTGTGGAGAGATAGGATTATGTTTTAAATAATCTAGATTAAATTGATTTGCTCTTCCCTTTTCACAAAAGACAAACCTGTGCCTTTAGACAAACTTATAGTTAGCCCAGAGTCAGTTTTGGATTGGTGGGTAGTGAGAGATAAAGGGCACTGTGGGTCTGTTAGAAAAGAAAAGGTTCTCACTACCCTTTCAGTGACAGCAGAGGATTTGCCCGCACTGTTCCAGGCAAAGGAGCAAGTTCCTTATCATAGATTAACTTTACCAAAATGTTGAGTGCTTTCTGTGGGTCGGGTACAGGGAACAGAGTGCTCCTTCCTTTAATAAGGGTCTGATGGAGAAGGCCTGTGATGAATGGCATTGCTGTGAAAGAGGGTCAGGTAGGACGTTTGGTGTGAGCATTGGGAAGGCATCTAACAGCCTGTGAGTACAGGGGACACTTCCTGGAGGAAGTAATGCTTTAGGTCAGATTTGGTGTTCGGGGTTGGTTGAATACACCTGGATGAGGTTTCTAGCACATGCAGAGGCCAGCAGGGATTACAGAGGATGACAACACTGGACTACAAAGTTTGGCTGAAGCCAAAGGATGAGTGTAGTGGAGCTGGAGCTGAGAGAGATTGGCAGGAACTTACTGTGTAAACCAAAACTTTTTCCTGAAGCCATAGAGACCAATTCAATAATTTTGGCAGGGGAGTGGCATTTCAGTTGTAATAAGTTCTCATTTATTTATTTGTTTTTTGTTTGTTGTAATTTGTTTTTAGAAAGAAGAAGGGAGAGAGAAACATTGGTTTGTTCTACTTATTATTGTTTTTTACTGATTGATTTTTAGAGAGGAACATTCTACTTGTTTATGCATTCATTGGTTGATTTTTTAAAATATGTTTTTATTGATTTTAGAGAGAGATGAAGGGAGAGAGAGCGAGAGAGAAACATTGATCGGCTTCCTCCTGCATAGCCTCTACTGGGCTATGCAACCAGGCATGTGCCCTGACCAGGAATTGAACCCGTCGACCTCTCAGTGCATGGTATGATACTCAACCAACTGAGTCACACTGGCCAGGGCCATTGGTTGATTCTTGTATGTGCTCTGACCAGGGATCGAACCCACAATTTTGGCATATTGGGTCGACCCTATAACCTACTGAACTACCCGGCCGGGGCTAGTAAGTTCTCTCTAGTACAGGGTCAGCTTGTTATTGGTGAGACTAGTTAAAAGGCCATCCATTGCTGTGTCAAAGAGGGAAATGATTAGAACCTGAATCAAGGTAATGATACTGGGACTGAAGAGAAGAGGTTTCTGACATTTTAAGGATATCCTGTAAGATTTGATGAATGAATGTTCATTATTAGGTGTGTGTACGTAGGTCTGGGGAATGGAGCTAAAGCTGTGCTATGGATGTTGCTACCAAAAGAGGTATATAAATTAAAAGATAGCAGAGGGCTTAGATAAAACAAAGTGCTGAAGAATACATTTTAAAATACGGAGTGAAGAAAAATGCAGTCTGTGAAGGAATGGACAGGATAGGAAGAAAACCCAGGATGGAATGTGACAGTAGAAATAGAAAAATTATAAGGAAACGGTAGTCAGGTGTAATATTGCCTAGGTGAGATGTAATATTTTGAAAAGCATGTAAAGTTGAATTAACAATATTGAATGTGAGCCATCAGCCACTCACCCAGGCTGTCCAGGCACCCCAGCGGGACCCCCACCCTGATCTGGGACACCAGGGCAAACCAGCCGGCCCCCACCCATGCACCAGGCCTCTGTCCTATATAATAAAAGGGTAATATGCAAACTGACCCTAACAGCAGAATGACTGGGAATGACTGGTCACTGTGACACACACTGACCACCAGGGGGCAGACGCTCAATGCAGAAGCTGCCCTCTGGTGGTCAGTGTGCTCCCACATGGGGGAGCTCTGCTCAGCCACAAGCCAGGCTGACGGCTGCCAGCGCAGCGGTGGTGGTGGGAGCCTCTCCTGCCTCCTCAGCAGCACTAAGGATGTCCGACTGCAGCTTAGGCCTGCTCCTTGCTGGCAAGTGGTCATCCCCCGAAGGCTGCCAGGCTGCCAGAGGGATGTCTGACTACCAGCTTGGGCCCGATCCCCCAGGGAGCGGGCCTAAGCCAGCAGGTGGACATCCTCCGAGGGGTCCCAGACTGCAAGAGGGCATAGGCCGGGCTGAGGGACCCCCCCTCCCCCTCCCCCACCGAGTGCACAAATTTTTATGCACCGGGCCTCTAGTCTGTTTAATAAAGCCCCTTGTTTTGCACTTATTATGTTGTCTATTTTAACTGGAAATGTTTCTTTTTGTCTTTACATTTTGAATAAATATAAAGTCCTAAGTTAATTTTAAACATGATTACTTTTTTTTAGTTTCTTATATGAATGTTTTTCATTATTTTTGGCAATGTCAGTTGTCTATAGCAATGTAATTAATATTTAGAGAGTTTATTGTACAGTTTGTTCAATTAATTTATTGCATGTAAGTTTTTGGTATTTGTTTTTACTTTTCAGTGAAAATTAATTCAACATTTAGCTAATATGCAAGGCAAAAGAAAAAAGATGTGTCCCCGAGGGAACACAGTCAATTAACAGTAATTTTCAACTAAATAAATACTTGGCTTTTAGGAAAGTGTGTAAAAGCTTTTTAATATAATTAATTTTTTTTTTTATTGATTTGAGAGAGAGAGTGACGGAGAAACATTGATGTGTTGTCCCACCTATCTGTGCATTCACTGGTTGCCTTCTATATGTGCCCTGATGGGATTGAACCTGGAACCTTGGTGCATTGGATTGATACTCCAACCAAGTGAGCCACCCGGAAAAGCTTTTGATCATATATTAAAAATACTTTGGACCAGAATAGGTGCTGACTTTTGAAATTTCCTTCATGGTGCTCTTCAGGATAGTTGCTAGCAATTTTAACAAAGAAATTGCAGATTCTACGTGTAGTTTATTTTGAAATATATTGGCTGTGTGTTCTGATATAAAGCAAAATTACACATAGGACAATTGTTTTAAAAGCCAGTTTTGCTTGGTTTGCTAAGATTAGATTTAAGATAAAAAACAAAACAAAACAAAAGAACTAGCCCTGGCCATGTAGGTAGTTCAGTTGTTTAGAGCAGTGGTCACCAACCTTTCGGACCTCACGGTTCGAGACCACTGGTTTAGAGCATCATCCCCATACACCAAGGTGTTCACTCCCGGGCAGGGCACATGTAAGAAGCAACCAATGAATGCATAAATAAGTGGAACAACAAATTGGTTTCTCTCCCCCCCCCCCCCCTTTCTTCCTCCCCTTTTTCTCCCTACTTTCCTCTCTAAAATCAGTCAATAAAAATGAAACAAAAAAACTATTCCACACCCTTTCTCTTATATCATTGTGCCTGATTTAGGACTTTTGTGTGTATGCTTATAAGTAAAACTTATGAATTTATAAAGTTTTTTTATCCCCCACCCCCTTAACTTTAAACTTTCAAAATGAATGCATCTGTAACCAATATACAGTATTGTTTGGGTGTGTACATCTGAGTGTAATTTGTAGATGATAACACTGATGCAAACCCTAAGCGTGACAACTGAGAAACAGACCAATAGGATAGTACAGAGAGGTTTCTGGATACAAGAGCAATAGTTTAGAATATTTAGTATTTATGAGAATAAAGCTAATACACATTATGAAGCTTCTATAGGGAAATTTAAAAACTTTATTGAAACACATAAGAGATCTGACATATTTATGGACAAAACAGTAAAATTAAGATGTCAGTTCTTCCCCAGATAACTCTAAAAATGCTAATGCAATTGCAGTCAGATCTCAACATAATTTTTTTTTTTTTTTTTGGTAAGACTGAAGATGAGGCTCTAACCCACTGTTCTACCTGGCCAGGGCTCCACAAGAATTTTTAGAACATGCAATACCGGACTGTTTGGTCAGGGACATGACCTCTTTTCCCTTGGATTGTCAAATAAAAAAAAGACAACAGCCAGTACAACAATAGCCATTGGGTATGAGTGAATCATAATTATGCTTATATTTCTTGTCAGATCAGGAAAAAAATTTTTTTGGTACTGCAGAATTTTAGTAATTAGTTTATGTGTGCATGAGATTAAAAAATGGTTGACAACCATTGGTCTACTCTGTTATTTCAGTTAGTGTTTTGTTTTTGTTCTAATTCCTCTTATGAAAGAATGCAAACACTGAAACATAATTTAAAAATTTATTATTCAAAGTTTAGAAAACATATAAACAATTAAACTTAATTTTTAAAAAAATATATTTTACAGAGAGGAAGGGAGAGGGATAAAGAGTTAGAAATATTGCTGAGAGAGAAACATCAATCAGCTGCCTCCTGCACACTCCCTACTGGGGATGTGCCTGCAACCAAGGTACATGCCCTTAACCGGAATCGAACCTGGGACCCTTCAGTCTGCAGGCCAACGCTCTATCCACTGAGCCAAACCTGTTAGGGCTAAACTTTAAATTTTTAATTTAAAGAATTAAACTCGGCAGTGTTGGTTTTTTCACTTTGTAATATTTATACATTTGAAGTTATTAAAGCTTAAAATGGCACTCAGACTTTTGGGACACCTCTCTTCAAGGATTGACAAATTGCTATCCAAGTATGTGGAGCATTCTAACACTGTTATTATTTTTTAAACTAGTTTTTAGTTTGATAACTGGAAAATAGTATCTCAGTATTACTCTGTGGGTTTTTATTTTTTTACTCCTGGTTTTGGTGAATATTTTTAATGTCTCAATAATTGGTAGTCACTTCTAATACTACTTTAAAGGTATTAGCTACTATTTAGTGAGCACTTTCATAAATGTCAAAAACACTGTGATGAGCATTTTACTGCATTACTTTTTTTAATCCTCTGAACAACCCTATCAAGTATAGATAATTTTTTATTTTATGATAGGAAATTGATTTTAGAGGGGAAAAGTGACTTGTTCAATGCTACAGTTAGGAAACTCAGATTCTGTAATCTGTTATTATACTATTACCTCTCAAATTTAGTATAGTTGAGGAAAATTGGTATACTTGTATTTATAGGGGGTTGAGATATAGATGGATTCAGATAGAGATGGCAATGTTTTACCTGGTTTTTCTAAAAGCAAATTGATCAAATTTGGTATTTCATGCGTTAAGGGAGAAGAAATTAAAATTTTAGTAATTTGGTTTCAGTTAGTGTAATGTTGGTTATAGACGCTTAGAGCTGGAAGGGTTCTTAAATATTTTTCAAGTTATGTTCCATTGCACACTGTTGTGGGAAATTTTTATATTTCCTGACCACATAAGTTTGGGCAACACTTATATTTTTCCTAGCAGAAGATATCTTATTGCCGTAGCTGGTTTTGGTTTGGCTCAGTGAATAAGAGCGTTGGCCTGTGTACTGAAGGGTCCCAGGTTTGATTCTTGGTTGCAGGCTCTATCCCCTGCCCTGGTCAGGGTGTCTGAGGGAGGCAACCAATCAATGTGTGTGTGTGTGTCACTCTCTGTCTCTCCCCTCCCTTCCACTCTCTCTAAAAGTCAATGGAAAAATATCCTCAGGTAAGGATTAAAAAAAAAAAGAAAGATACCTTATTAACTTTGTTTATCACTATAATTTTCCAGATCAATTTGTGTGCTGTTCTGTAGTAGACCTGTTCATATCACGTGGAACAACATCTTGATATATATCAATTTGAGATAAAAGCTGATATGGTCCATTCTTTCATTTTTATAAGGGCAAGGAATGCAGTGTGAGATCACAGAGCTACTAAATGATATAATGTTTATTTTTCATGTATTATGTTAAAAAATTATAAAGCAGACTTGATTGTAGTTTTTTATATTCCCATGTAGCCCAGTGATTACTCTTATACTCTGAGAAATACACATACAGTTTTTAAAATTCTGAGATTTATGTATATGTGTATTGCCTCACTTATTTAGCACGAATGCATATCTGTAAGTGCTTGTTTGTGTTTAATTATAGCAATGAAAAGACTGCTTTTTGCTGTAGTTAACATGTCACAACTGTTTGGTTTAGTTTTTGTAGAAAATGTTTCCTGACTGCAATGAGAGAAAGTGGAATACATTGTCCGCTCTGTCGTGGAAATGTGACTAGAAGAGAAAGAGCATGTCCTGAACGGGCCTTAGACCTTGAAAATATCATGAGGAAGTTATCTGGTAGCTGCAGATGTTGTGCAAAACAGGTACAGTAAGTGTGAAATAGCTCTTGCAAGTCAAGTTTCTATCCTGAAGTTCCTGTCTGAATATTCTTGGTGGGTATTGTTTTGAAGGGAAGAAGTCATTTAGATTGGGAATTGGGGTGAAAATGCAAAAAAAAAGAGAGTGATGGCTATTCTATATAATAAAAGCCTAATAAGCTAAGTGTCCAGTCATCTATTCAACCAGTCCTATATAATAAAGATGTAATATTCAAATGGTCGTTACACCGTGATGCGTAACGATCGACCACGTAACGACTGGATCATGGATCAGCAGGAGGGTGGGGCAGCAAGCTACAAGCAGGCGGCAGAGAGCTACAGGAGGGGGCAGGGCAGCAAGTTATGAGGGGGGGCAGGGAGAGGGGGCGGGGAAAGCTATAAGAGGGCGGGGCAGCGGGCGGAGAGCTACTGGAGGGTGGCAATGAGCTACTGGCGAGCTACTGGCGCATGGATTCGTGTGCAGGGCTACTAGTCAAAGCATTATATGCTAATATGCTAAGGCCACTCAACCGGTCACTATGATGTGCACTAACCACCAGGGGACAGACAATTGACCGGTCGACCAGTCGCTATGATGTGCACTGACTACCACGGGGCAGACACTCTGACCAGTAGGTTAGCTTGCTGCTGGAGTCTGGCCAAGTGGGACTGAGCGAGACAGGCTGGACACACCCTGGAGCCCTCCTGCGGTCCCTGCCCGGCTGGCCAAACTCCTGCGTCCCTCTCCGGCCCTGATCGTGCACCGGTGGGGTCCCTCGGCCTGGCCTGCGCCCTCTCGCAATCTGGGACCCCTCGGGGGATGTTGAAGAGCTGGTTTTGACCTGGCTGAGGGACCCCACTGGTGCACGAATTCATGCACTGGGCCTCTAGTAGATTATAAACTTATAGAGAACAGAGACTGAAAGGTATAATCTCTGACTTTGCCATAATTTTTATCATGGTTTCCTTTTCTCAAAGTAATTACTCATTTATTATTTACTAAATTAGCAAATTGGCATTTAAGTCCTTTAAACCCCATTCTGGTACAAATTCAACCATTAAATAGTTTTTCTGATGGGAGAGGGAGAGAGAGAGATAGAAACATCAATGAAGAGAAAGAATCAATGATCGGCTTCCTCCTGTGCACCCCCCACTGGGGATCAAACCTGCAACCTGGGCACATGCCCTTGACTGGAATCGAACCTGGGACCCTTTAGTCCGCAGGCCGATGCTCTATCCACTGAGCCAAACCAGCTAGGGCATTATTGCAGTTTTGCACATAGAAATGGCCTGATGGATTTATGTAGTTAAGAAATCATTAGCAGCCACTTTACTTGTATATTTATGTGTTTTATATAAGAAATCACAAAATATCTGGCAGAAGACTTTGCCTAAGTTTTTTGGAACAAGTGGGAAAGTCAGGTATTGACAAATAACTGGCATTAATTCTCCAATTGGGATTTTATTGTTCTATCATTTGGAGAGGGAGTGAAATGGTGAAGCCATATCCTATGAATTTATTGCAGCCACTTTTTCAAATAGCTAATATGGTCAGTGAGTAAAACCAGTTGCTATTTCATGCATTCACACAAGTCAGTCTGTGTTTCCATCTCTTTGAGGAAGGTCTTAATTGACAGGGCAATGAAGTAAAGCTGGAAAATACACCTGAGAGATTTTTGGCTTTATTCCTCACTGAGAAACTGAAAAAAGTGTTAACTGAGAAACGTAATTTTTTTAAAGTGCTTTCTAACTCTGCTGAGTTGCAGTAGCTAAAGAATAAAGCAATGCCCAATACCCTGAGCCAACCTCATAGTACTTTCATTTATCTTTTATTAGTAGTATTGTTTTAAGTGTAAAGTTATTTCTTAACTAGAGGCCCAGTGCGCAAAATTTGTACACTGGCGGGGAGGGGGTGGTCCCTCAACTCGGCCTGCCCCTTCTCACAGTCCGGGAGCCCTCAGGGGATGTCCTGCCTCTGCCAGAGGCGACTGGCTGATCAGGGAAAGGCACCGCCCCCATCACTCCCTCGCTACTGCTGCCTCTGGCCTCCCTCTGCAGGAGGCGATCGGGAAGGCGATGCCCCCATCACGCCTCTGCTGCTGCCACTGCCAGCTGTGAGGCTGCCTGAGCCTCGGGTCTTCGCAGCCACTGCGGCTTGCCTGAGCCTCGCCCAGCCATCATTGCCTGAGCCTTGGGCCCTTGCAGTGGCAGCGACCATTGGCTGCTTGCCTGAGCCTGGGGCCGGCCCTGGGCAAGCGGCAGCTGGCATCGCATCCCCAACACTGCAAGTCCCCACCCCTGTCCCCGACGCTGCAAGTCCCCGCCCACCCGCACCTCCTGTGCACGCAGCCTGCTGATCGGTCGTTACTGTGACGGCGTCCTGACCAATTTGCATATTACCCTATTATTAGATATTTTTTGCAGTGAGTTTACAGACTGATGGACTCTTCTCCATTGTTTCGCACCTAATGGACAGAAACAATTGAGAATTAAACCATTTACTTAAACAGAACCTCTTGTTTAAATGGGGTATTTAGTTACCTAGTTTTATCTTTTTTTCTCTTTTGACAATCTCTCAAATCTTGGTGAGTTCTATTTTAAATAAAAGTCACATTAAATTTTAATAATTTACAGATTAAATTCTATCGCATGAGACATCATTACAAATCTTGTAAGAAGTATCAAGATGAATATGGTGTTTCTGCTATCATTCCAAACTTTCAGATCTCTCAAGATTCAGTAGGGAACAGGTAAGCAATATTTATTCTTAAAAAGATAATTTTTTATTGAAATTGTTTTGGGAACTATATGATAAGGTTTGTTTTGTTTGTGTGTCTATGTTTAAAGTAAAATGATATGAGAACTATATCATTTGTGTATTCAGAAGTTTGATACATGAAAGATTACATCTGGTAGATCAGCTGATCTGGTGAGATCTGGTACTAGTAAGTTCTTAGTTCTATTTTAGTCTCAATTTTTATTTTATTTTATTTTTATTATTTTTTAACTTAAATTCTTTATCGTTTAAAGTATTACATGAGTCTCCTTCCCTCATTGACCTCTCTCCGGCCGCTCCCACCCCCCAGCACATGCCCTCACCCCCCTACTGTCTGTGTCCATTGGTTATGCTCACATACATGCATTTAAGTCCTTTGGTTGCTCTCTAACCCCCTCACCCCCTTCCTTCTCATAGGTTGGACAGTCTGTTCAATGTTTCTATGTCTCTGATTCTATTTTTGTTTATCAGTTTATGTTCATAGTCTCAATTTTTTAAAAACTAAGGTTTGGCTTGATTTGTATCTTATTGTCTCAGATTTCTATGCATTAGACATGATATACTTAAGCTTTTGCTATTTAAAAATCATTTTAGGAAAATTGACACTTTTTTGGATAAAAAATAGACCTGAGAGTTGAAGGCTATTTTCTTTTGCAACTGAAATTTAAAAACTAGAAAAAAATTCCTTTCAGTAGTGTACAAACTGGAATCATCTTGTATGCTACCTAATAAATAGAGTTGTTTGAGATTTCTACTCTGACAATTAAATGTCATGTAAAGTGAGACCTGGTACAAGTAAATTCTTATTTCTATTTTGTCTCAATTCTTAAAAAACTAGCGTTTGGCTTGATTTGTATCATATTGTCTCATATTTCTGTACATTAGACATTTTAGGAAATGTATTTCATATAGAAGAATGGCCAAAATGCCTGTGTGTTTTAAAAAAATAGTGATAAATACCTAGTTATCCACAAACCCAGGTCAAAAGAAATTAAACATTTTTTAGCACCTTACAGTCTCCTTTTGAACCCATGACCATCTGAGTCCCATATGCCCAGAGGTGACCACTGTCTTCTTTTTTGGGTCACTCCCTTTTCTTTCTAGTGTTACCAACCCTGTGTATATCTGTAACAGTGAAGTGTTTAATTTTTAAAAACTCAATAGCAAGCACACACACACTGTGTAAAGAAAGGCAGTCTAGGCACTATTATAGAAAGGCCCCAGGGGACAGTATGCCAGGCAGAGTCTCTTCAGATTTTATTTTTAGTAGCAATTCATTTCACATGTTGCTAATTTTTTTTGCATTTAATTGCTCTACTGCAGTCGGGCTTTTCCCCTACTCCTCAGTTAAAACTGTTAGGGTAGTCCGGCCGGTGAGTGTCCCATGAATTAGGAGGTCACCGTTTGATTCCCAGTCGGGCACATGCCCTGAGTTGAGGGCTCAATCCCTGGTAAGGGGCTGTAGGAGGCAGCTGATCCGTGTGTGGGAGATTCAAGTTTTGCTTTTCGGAACTTCCTGAGATTTCCACCCCCTGAATATTTTTAATCCATGGTTGGTTGAATCTGTGGATGCAAAATTTTGGGGTAGAGAGGACTGGCTGTGCTGCTTGCCTTCTTGTAAAAGAAAAATGAATAGCCGGTTTTTAAGTTGATCAACTCTTAAACCTGTGTGGTACAGTTTTTTGTTCACTAGCTAACTCATTTCTATTTCAACATTTCTCCTATTGAAAGGCCTTGTTTTTATAAAATTGACCTCATTGATGAATTCTGTAATGTCCCTGTATGGAATATCCACGCTTGCCTCTGGGTTTCTCTAATACTGCATATGACACATGTCTCAAGCATGAGGTCTGAATGAGGATGTCAAGTAATTCTATGTATTAAATGTTGGAGAGCCTAGTTTCTTTTTGGAAAATGAGCATTGAGATATTTTCTTAAACCTACTCTACTTTGGAGGCCACAACCTTAAACCATATCCTAGTTACAAATCAGAACGTTCATGAATTTTTGAGTCTATCCCAGCATTCAAATACTAGCCTGGATAGAGGTGGAGGTAGTCATAATTTTAAAGTCTAAAGGACCTGGGGAAATGATATCATGCTGTAGATTTAAGGTAATTATGCCAAATTCTATATTCTCTATACTTTGGTAGCTGCATAAATTAATTTTGAAGGACATAAAGGCACAATAAACTGTCTTATCAGAATTTATTTGAAAAGTAATTAATGCCCTCCTTTTTGTTGTTCAGAACTATTTGAAGTTCAGGCTTTTAAAACAAATATGGACTAGCCTTCTTCGATAGCAGTTCAAGTTAATGAATCTATAATGTGCTTTATTGCTTGAGGTATTAACTTTACCCCTTTGCTTCTTAAGTAATAGGAGTGAAACATCTACATCTGATAACATAGAAACGTATCAAGAGAATACAAGGTAAGCTTTTGAAAATCCTGCTACTTTATTAAATAATAGCTTTTTAAATAAAAAAGTTTTTATTCAGTTAAATCACCAGATATTATGCTAGAACTTAGTAGTTTAGAAATAAATGATGCAGTTGCTGATTTTACGGATCACATTACATTGGAAGAGTCTAGCTCTCCTCCTCCCCCGTGATGATGTCTCTTCCATGCATAGTGTAGGTGGGTTGTCAGTATTGAACCGTCCCTTGCTGAAACTCAGGCATTACAACCAGTGAAGCACGATCCTCAAAATGTGCTTTTTTTTTTTTTTTTCATGAAAGGATGCTTTTCTTTCTTTTTTTCTTTTTCTTTTTGGTCTATCATGTTTATTTATTTTTATTGTTGAAAGTATTACAGATGTCCCCTTTTTTTCACCATTGACCCCTTCTCCCCCCAACGCACCCCACCCCACCCCACCTCACCCCACCCCACCCCAGGCCTTCATCACACTATTGTCTGTATCCATGGGTTATGCATATATGCATATAAGTTCTTTGAAATAGTGATCATTCTGGTAATTAGTGCTTTTTTGTTTTTCATTTTTTCCTAGGAATTTTGTATTTAGATTCCCAGAGGCTGTGATAGATGAAAGATATTGATGAAAGTCTTTTCAAAATTAAGTTCCTAGATAGGGGCTTCCAAATAGGGCCGCCACCACAGGATATTAAACTTTTCAGGGTACATTCAGTGGCATCTGTTGGCCTCACACGAATGACTAAATTAAATTTTTGGACCTAACTACTTAGTACATGGAACAGCTATGTTTGTTTTTATTTTGGCTTAGAGGCACCATAAAAAAATTTACTGAGACATTAACGATACTGTAAACTGAGATTGGGAACATCTGTTGCAGATTATTTATCGAAAACATTTATTTTTCAAAATTAGAGAATCTTTGAATAGTCTAATTATTATAACTTAAAAAAAAAGAAACGTAAATAATTGACTTAAGAACAGGAGAGCATTATTTCTGTGTTTTGGTTTGTGATTTCAAATTTAAGTATACTTCATTTAAAATTGTTTTATAGTTCTGGGCATCCCACCTTTAAGTGTCCCTTGTGTCAAGAATCAAATTTTACCAGACAGCGTTTACTGGATCACTGTAACAGTCATCACCTATTTCAAATAGTTCCTGTGGTAAGTACGTATGTTTAAGACAGCCTGCTGCTTAAAGTATGCTTTTCGTTTATTTCACTTTGTGTGAACAACAGGGAAGGTAGTTTTAAATATGGAAGGGGCATTATCAATAAGGTAGATTTTTGTCAACAAAAGATGAAAGGTTTGAAGCAAAATGAGATTTCAGTAACTTATAAAAGAGAGATGCTTATTGTGAGTGTTACATAGGAGAATAGTCTAGAGCAGTGGTCAGCAAACTCATAGTCAACAGAGCCAAATATCAACAGTACAGTGATTGAAATTTCTTTTGAGAGCCAAATTTTTTAAACTTAAACTATATAGATAGGTACATTGTACTTAATTAGGGTATTCCTAAGGCTTAGGAAGAGCCACACTCAAGGGGCCAAAGAGCCGCATGTGGCTCGCGAGCCGCAGTTTGCCGACCACGGGCCTAGAGAAGAGGGAAGTAATGAGAGTGAACTGGGAACTCACTACCGAGGGGACAAGACCCAGCTCTGTTGGGGCTGCTCGGTTTCTTGGTCTGTGCCGGATGCAGTCAGCTCAGCCTGGTCAGGTGGGTCTGCCACAAGTGGAAACTATATGTGAGAATAAAGCCACTAGGCGTTTTAAGTGTGGATCCTTGCAGACTCTAGTGAATTCATACAGCCAGGAAAGAAAGGAATCATACTTGCTTTTTGGTGCATATATATCCTTTTTATACCATCTTGAGGGTAAGAAAGTGGTGAGACCTTTTTGGTGAGTGAAGGAGATAGCGTGCAGGATTTCAACATTGTGTGTTAGTAACCCTACAACTCCTCATTTGGAACATGAGTTCCACAGGTAAGTGACTTCAGTTGTGGGTGAAGCAGGAGAAACTTGAGCTAGAAGAGATACTTCCCTTTCAGTTGTACATTTTGATCTAGAAGGAAATGTTATAGATAAAATAAGGGTTGTAGATGTTTCTAAGCAGTTTTAGTGGATGTACTAGAACAAAAATGTGAAAAGCTATGCCTCAGTAACTATTGAGGCTGTCCATCAGCTCTCTCCTAGTACGAAGGGAGACTGAGCAGGGTCAGTTACTGTTAAACAAATAGAAGCGCCAAAGCTGTCTCTAGGAAAAACCTCCTATTTAAGAGATTTTGTTTTGTATTGCATTAGCAAATTTTTATTTGTTTCTACGTTATGTTCAATATAGCATAGACTTGGCTAGAGTTCAATTACTAAAGTTCTTTTTTATTTCATTTCAGTAATCCATTCATTTTTTAAGATGTACTTCATTTAAAACCTTAAGAATACAATTTAAAGTTTACTACCCTTTCATTTTACTTATAAGTGAAATAAAGCTTATAATAATTATATAGTTATTGTGTGGCTCAAGTGAGTTTACATACTGGTTAATGATAATTACCATTACAATTAATATTGCTAAAGGCTGGATGTGGTGTTTCTCTTGGAACAGTTGTGTAATTGGGGATTTAAGTAATAGAATGTTTAAGATCCTCTTTTCATTGTGTTGTGTTCGTGTAGTTTATATTTAAGGTAATTTGGTAGACAAATGATCTAGTCATGGAATTTGGCTTGTAGAAATGCTTTTCATGTAGGTGTTTTCAGTTATATAAGCCTGTGTTTTAATACCTTCAATAATTATAACATTTTATTTTTATTGTTTTTTATTTAAAACATTGTTTCTCATAGACATGTCCTATTTGTGTGTCTCTTCCTTGGGGAGATCCTAGCCAGATTACTAGAAATTTCGTTAGTCATCTAAATCAAAGACATCAGTTTGATTATGGAGAATTTGTGGTAAGTGAATTCTGCGAGATTAAGAAAATACTGTTTAAGTATTAAAGTTAAATTGACTTTATCAATGTAGACTTGAGTTTTGAGGCAAACTGTTGTATCATATTGGATGGTTACAGAGCAAGTTCTGTTGTTTTTATAATTTAGGTGAATTTTGGTTTGTGGAAGTGGTGAAAAGTTTAATATACTGTCCACCTCCTGTACTAGAGACATAATTTACAGAGGAAGAGCAAAACCTCAGATGAACACAGTGAGTTAGATGAAACTGTCTAGGTACTTGCTAGAGAAGTAAAAGGATATACCGGATGAAGGAGGGTGTGTTTTTCATGAGTGTGTGTGTGTGAATCCCATTATGATAGATACATCCAGCATGCGAGACACATTTCTGAGATGAGGGGGCTTAGTTATCAAGTAAAGCCAGTTAAGTTGTACATTTTGGCCTTAGTTGACTGCTTTTACAGGGAGAATGAGGGAAGTTTCATAATGTAAAAATGGATCCCCAAAGCAAAGCATGGGGTTAATTTCTGCCTCCCAAGGGTGTCCTCATGATTTTTAAAAAATTAGATGTGGCCTTTGTTTTATTTATTGTGAGATTGCATTTTATTCACTTCAGTGAATTAAAACTTTATCTAATTTAACATTAATTCCAACAGAGAATAGCTTGTTTTCAAGTGTAGGTAAATGCAGGCATGTGCAATTCTGACAATGACTATTACTCTTTTTTTAAAAAATTGATTTTGAGAGAGAGAGGAAGGGAGAAAGAGAGACAAACATTGATGTGAGGAAGAAACATTGATGGTTTTCTCCCGTTCACGCCCCAAACTGAGCATCGAACCTGCAACCTTTTGGTGTACAGGATGACACTCCAACTGAGCCATACCGGCCAGGGCAAAATTATAGTTATTCTTGATAAATGTTTATTTTGTGGAATTTGCATTTTTAATCATACTATTTCAAAATAACAGTTCAAACATATGTAAAATTTAGGTGTGCTCTTACAATTTTAGCATTTTTATGAAGTAACTAGAGGCTGGATGCACAAAATTTGTGCAAGAGTAGGTCTTTCTTCCCCCAGCTGCTGGCACCAGCTTCCCTCTGGCACCCAGGACCAGGGCTTCCCTCGAAACCCCGGCTTCGTCCAGAGGGACGTCCAGTCTAATTAGCATATTATGCTTTTATTATTATAGATTGTAGATTATTCTTAAATTCTCATTGTAAGAAAGGTTACTATGTCTGGAGATCTGTGTACTTGGAAAAACAAAAACATATTTGGTGAACCACTTTTGATCAACTTGGCAGGTTGTTTTACCTTGCCACAGAAAAATATGTCATTTTAATTACTTGAGATTGTCAGTGGAAGCCTATTCTAAAGCAAACCCATAGACATAATTGATAGCAAATAGAATTGTTAAAGTTAAGGATCAGTAGTATAAGATTGAGTGAGCTATAGTTTTTAGCTTCATGTGATGGTTAAGAAACTGTTATTTAACTCTGATTCAATAAAAGCTTATTTTTCTAAAATAAATTTATTTTACCTTCAGACATTCTTATCTTTTCTAGAAATCATACAACATTTATTGTAGTTCACTCTTAACTGTACTTTGAATTTATGATTTATCATAAGGCACTTTTAATTCTCAACTTTCTCTGCTGATCCTGTTTATCAATTATTCTTAAATAATTATAATTAAACTTTTTTATAATAGTTCATTTATTTAAAAGGAAATATGTTGTAACATAAACTTTTTCAACTATGTGTAGTGTGTGTCAGGATGTGTAATATATTGGGCAAAGTATTGAATAGTGGAATATAGTTTTCTATTGATATGTTAATGTTATTGTTTTTTAGAATCTTCAGCTAGATGAGGAAACCCAATATCAAACTGCTGTTGAAGAATCTTTTCAAGTAAACATCTGAAGGCTATAGACATCTGAGCATCTTTGTACCTGCAAGTGCCATCTTTAAGGAGAAAACTAATGCAGTCACCATTTCAATAACTTGATGTGTATATTAATAAAAGTAATTCAGTCTATTGTTTTAGTTTTTAAATTGAAAAATAAAGGTGGGCCATCTGAAAATTTTGTTCTCTTGAAAAGTTAAAAATGAATGTTAGGACATTATCTTTAAAAGCATTGAAAGGATTCTATTTCACTAATGTAATGGCGAAAAATTCTTGTTGTACTTTATCTTTTTCATATTACACATTCTTGAATTTTTCCTTACGTTGCTTTTGAAATTTGGTGCGGTTTCTCCCAGGGATGCTATTGAATACAGGTAACACAGTAGCAAATGCAGAAAGATGTGGTTGATATGAACCTAACAAACCTGAGCCAGTTATCAGAGTTGCAGACGGAGACTTGAAGTGCTAATGAAACAATCCAAAGGAAAAAATTTTAATACAGATTCTAGCTGAAGAATTCAACTCTAAGAACATGGTATTTATATAACATTTAGTATTTTTGAAGACTAGTGAGATTTCTTTAATAATTTTAACTGTTTAAAAAGTAAAAGCTTAATGTAAGGATATTTCCTTCTTTTTTTTTTTTTGCTATTAGAAGGAACTATCAAGAGGAAAATTTATTTCTTTGGCGGGCAGTTGCTAATTTCAAATCTTGTTTGTTTGGCTGACTAATTTATAAGCCTAGTGTATATTAAGTTGAATTTACAGCTCGTTGGCTTCAGAATTTTTCAATAGCTAGTGTTTCTCATTAGCTAAGATGAAACTTTTATTAGAAACTTTCAGTTGATGATTCAGTTGTATGTTCTACATATATATTTTAAGTGAGAAGTTTGGCTCCATCTCAGTTGAGAAATTCAAGCAAAGCTAAAGATGTATATGTATAATACACACACATGCATGCAGGTTATATACAGGATTTCTATTCAGATTTAAAAAATAGATAAGCAATATGGGATTTAAGTGTTTACTTGATTTGATTAACATTTTGTATATCACCACATTTTTAAAAGGTAACAGCCAAATGCTAAGTGGTCTAGTTGGCTGCTGTTACACCTTAAAAATTGAGTTTATACACACACTCAATGACCTGTCCATATGGTGCTCTTTGTTCTCAACGATAATGCATGACTGAAGTGGTGACACATTTTCCAGCCGCTCTGTTTCACTGCTTGTTAGTCAGACTGGGTTTGTTTATTCTTGGTATTCACTAATGAGAATCATAAAAGAACTTGTACTAGAAGGCCCAGATCACAGAGGAAGCGACGAAGAGTGGATTAGCTAACATTCCATACTAATGTACATTGTTTATGCTTTCTTTAAAAGAATATAAAATTTCCGAAGTCGTTGCTAATATATACATACATTGTATAAAAAGGGATATTTTGGTTTTGTTAAAACCCTTGTTGACTTTTCTACAGTGAACATTTTTTTTAAACTTGATTTAATAAAAATGTTAATTTTGGAAGTGGATTTTTGTAAAAAGCCTTTCTCAGTCAAACAGTGATGACTTTATGGGTAGTAACAGTCACCAAAAGCCATGCATCTCAATGAACTAATGCCTTTGTCATTCAAAAGAGTGATGCTTACCACGTGCTTGAACATTTTTTCTGCAGTTACATGAGTGTAATTGTAAGAATAGCTGTTAACTCTTTAATAAGAGACTTGACCATAGATTTTTTCTAACTTAAAGCAATAAAGTTAGTACTTTCTTTCAAAATTTAATACTCAGTATGTCAAGTTAAACTATTTTGGGATGTGAGAGCTTGAAAGGAAAGTTGTAGTAGAGATCATCTTGATGAAATTGTGTTTTGAAATTTTGTGGATTAGTTCAATATCACTAATAGTCTCGTGTGTCTTTTATATAAACTTTTTCATAAAGGAAATATTGACTGTATTTGCTATTATCTGGGAACTCTTCAGTATGGAAATGTTTGTTTAAAATCTCCCCTCTTGTCAGTGGATTAGAAATAAGGATAGGCTTTACAGATTTTCAGTTTAAATTCCTGAAAAGGTTCTTATTTTTAATATGCTTATAACTGAGTCAGGATAAAGGAGGGAAATTGTATTGATACTCATACCGAAATTCCACACTATCACCTAGGGAAGCGATTTCTTCAACAAATTACCGTTTATGTTGTTAAACAGAGTTTTATTTGAGATGTATTGTTTTATTTTTCAATTAAAAGTGGTTTTCTCCTACTTGTGTGTCTAATTAAAATTTTGTCTAGAGGCAAACATGATAACAGTTAATTCTCATAACTCACTCTGCAAGATGTGTAGGAGATAATCTATTATTTTGCACTTAAAAAGTGGATAGGAGAAAGCTACCACATGCTGATAATGCTTCATGTTGGATTTAACTTTATAAACCTATTTTATCTTTATTTCAAATGTTAATCAACTTAGAAAGCTATTTTATTAAGTACTAGAGGCCCAGTGCACAAAAATGGTGCACTTGGGGGTGGGGTAGGGGGGGGGGTCCCTCAGCCCGGCCTGTGCCTCTTGTAGTCTGGGAGCCTTTGCGGGCCTAAGCTGTCAGTCAGACATCCTTAGTGCTGCCACGGAGGTGGGAGAGGCTCCCGCCACCACCACTGCTCGCCAGCCATGAGCCTGGCTTCTGTCTGAGCGTCACTCCCCCCTGTGGGAGCACACTGACCACCAGGGGGCAGCTCCTGCGTTGAGTGTCCCCTGGTGGTCAGTGCATGTCAGTGACCGGTTGTTCTGCCGTTCGGTATTTGCATATTAGCCTTTTATTATATAGGATTCGTGCATTAAACTTTTCAAGCCCTATTAGCAAGCAGGCAGGAAGATAGTTAACAGGTTAATAAATACTTTTATATATAGAGAAGTCCCCTTAAGTAAGATAACCTGGCTGTAAAAATATATTGCCAAGTACAATGTTGTATACCTGCTGGGCTGCTCAGTAAGTGTGATCTTTAGTGAATCATAACTTATAGAAACCCTTTGAGGAGGTGGTGACATTTTAGCCTTTATAGAACAGGTGTGGCCCAGAAAGCATGTACATGCATGTAGTATACAACTCAGAAGTATGAAATACTCATTCCATGATACGATTTAGTGTGCAATGTAACTTTCTTATCATGCAGTACAATTTGAAAAAAGGAATTCCAGGAATGAATGACATTAAGTGGTTAAAAGAATACATGGGAACCTCAAGAAAATGGATGTTGCCCTGGCTGGTTTGGCTCAGTGGATAGAGCGTCAGCCTGCAGACTGAAGGGTCCTGGGTTTGATTCTGGTCAAGGGCACATGCCTGGGTTGTGGGCTCGGTCAGACATTCAGGAGGCACCCAATTAATGATTCTCATCATTGATGTTTCTATTTCTTCCTCTCCCTTCTCTGAAATCTATCTCTATCTATCATCCATCCATTTATCTATCTATCTATCTATCTATCTATCTATCTATCTATCTATCTATCTATCATCTATCTATCTATCTATCAAAGCCCAGCTACTGTTAAGGCAGAACAACCAGAATGACCCGGTCGCTATGAAGTGCACTGACTACCAGGGGGCAGGCGCTCAACACAGGAGCTGCCCCCTGTGGTCAGTGCGCTTCCACAGCGGGAGCGCCGCTCAGCCAGAAGTCGGGCTCACGGCTGGCGAGCGCAGCAGCAGTGCAGGAGCCTCTCCGCCTCTGCGGCAGCACTAAGGAACGAGCAGGCGGATGGTTAGTGAGGAGGTGGGCAGTTAGGAGTGAGGGGTCCCAGATTGTGAGAGGGCGCAGGCCGGGCTGAGGGAAACCCCTTTCCCCCATGCACGAATTTTGTGCATCGGGCCTCTAATAAAAATATACTAAAAAAAAGAAAAGAAAATGGAAGTTACCTCATCCCTACTAATAGCAACTGTCCAATCCTGGGGCCAAGAGAGAGGACAGATGCTGTAATCCTTCCCTGAAATGAAGTAAATGTGTGTTCCATTATGTACTTGACTGGAAAACTTGCATTAAACTATTCCATACAATTTCCTATGTCATAGGGCTTCTTAAAAGAGTGTAATGGTGAAGGGGATACTGTTGCAGAATTTAGGATGAGCAGAGCAGGGGAACAAACATGGAGGAGACTTAGAAGAATTAGAACCATACTACACAGGTTATGGAGGAGAAGCAAATGCTTGAGGGGTGAGGGAGGGAATTTCATAATTATCTAAATGGGCAAGATAATGGTACGTGATACTGGCAGTGCACCGCGTGAACAATAGCAATAGCCTTTGTACTCGGCTTGTATCCGGAAAGGAACACTACTAGGATCCCCATAGGTCCCCTAGTTCCTACTGCTAGTCATAAGTCACCACCACCACTAACTTCTGGTACCACAGATTGTTTGCTGCTTTTATACTACACTAGAGGCCCGGTGCATGAATTTGTGCACTCGGGAAGGTCCCTCAGCCCGGCCTGCACCCTCTTGCAGTCTGGGAGCCCTTGTAATGTCCCGTGGGGGAGCAGGCCTAAGCCGCAGTCTGGCCTCCCTCTGCAGGAGGTGACCGGCAGGCTGATCTGGGGCCGGTGCTGGCTGGTGAGCGGCTGGCCCCGCCCCACCAATTGCCCTTCTGCTGCCATTGGTCACCGCCACCCCCTCGATCGCCATCCCCTCCCTCTGCCCACTGACATGTGCCTTGGCTGGCCTGGCGTCCCCTGCTCGCCGGCCCCGCCCCCCACTGACCAGTCGTTCTCCCATTTGGTTGATTTGCATATTATGCTTTTATTATATAGGATACAAATGGAAGCACCCAATAAAAATGACAACTTTTGCTTAACCCCTAGAGTGCCGGGAGCGCAATCGTGCTCCTCCTGCAGTGTCCAGTTCTAAGTCTGCTTTATTAGTGATGATGATATTGCTAAATATGTCAATTCTTGCTGTGAAGACGATTTTGTGGAAGATACTGAATATGGAACTTCATTTACTAGCGATTCATAATTTTTTCCCTAAACTGCTGTAAAATCGGCAAAAATGCCTTGGCAATTTTAGCATAGTTCCTAGGATATTGGTTGGCACTCAAAGGGTTAACATTGTTTTGAGATTTTTATGTCAGTTTTCAATGTAGACAACAGCTTACCTATGTAGAAACTTGTCTTTTGTCCAGAACAGAAAAGCTTGAAAGTAGCTTTTTTTAAAAATATATATTTTATTGATTTTTTACAGAGAAGAAGGGAGAGGGATAGAGAATTAGAAACATCAATGAGAGAGAAACATCGGTCAGCTGCCTCCTGCACACCTCCCACTGGGGATGTGCCTGAAACCAAGGTATATGCCCTTGACTGGAATCGAACCCGGGACCCTTCAGTCCACAGGCTGATGCTCTATCCACTGAGTCAAACCGGTCAGGGTGAAAGTAGCTTTTAAAGCTACTTTTGTTGTTGATCCTCACCTGAGGATATTTTTCCATTGATTTTTAGAGAGAGTGGAAAGGAGAAGGAAAGATCGATGTGAGAGAGACGTTGGTTGGTTGCCTCCCACACGCGCCAGGATTGGGGATTGAGCCCGCAACCAAGGTATGTGCCCTTGACTGGAATTGAACCCAGGACCCTTCAGTCCACAGGCCAATGCTCTATTCACTGAGCCAAACCGGCTAGGGTTGAAGCTGCTTTTTAATATTCGTGAAAGTTATGTTGGGTGTATTGCACGTGGGTCTTTGAAGCACCTGGGGCAGGGGGTGGGGGGAGGTTCGCCAAATCTCAGTAAAAACGGAAAACCAGCTGGTCCTTCCCTCATGATAACGAAGGAAAGACAGGTGAAGAGTATGCCCTAATGCCTTCCACGGCTCTTCCCTGACCAAGCCGTGGACAGGACAGGACGTTCTGTTCCCGGGGCATTCTGTAGACACAGGATCGGAATAAGTCTGCAAGGACGATATTTTCCGGGAATAGAGGCTAATGCTACTGATAGAAACTACAAGGGCTGCAGTAGATAGAGAAGAGGGGTAAGCAGATCTTCGCTGGGGTATGAAAGCATTCCAAACAAGTAAGCCTAATTTCTTTGGTTAAATGACCTGATTTTGATGATCCGGTAGGTTGATGCTTGTGTGGTTTTGGACAAATTTTGTAGCCTTTCTATGGATTATGAGGACTGTGCGAGTTAATACAGAAAGTGCTTAAACAGCCTGTTATCTTTCCTGTGACTGTATAGGCAATACATGCAAAATTCTAGGAGAAGAGAAAGCAGGACCACCTCTTCTCCCCCTTTTTCTCCCCTACTAGGGACCAAAGTGTATTTTTCAGCGATTTCTTGGAGAGATCCGTCGCTGCCAGTTTCCAGCTCCAAGGGCTGGATGGGCTGTGAGAAGAGGGCTGCTTTAGAGTAAGAATCTTGAAATGGGAAAATTCTACTAAGGAAAGAGAGACCAGACATCCGGGAATGCAGTATTTGGCCAAACTCTATCTCAGGAACCCCTGGGGTTCCGTGTAAGCTATTGTTTTGGGGGGAAATAAGTTATCCTAAGGAAGTTGAAGTGAGTCTGTTAAAAGTGAGATCCTGGAGTGCTGTGGGCTGGGGAGCAGAGTGCCCGCTTTGCCCCCCAAACAGCGGGGCTCTCCCGGGTCCTGGGATTCTAACTTCCTCCCAGCCTCAGTCTCTGGGCCTCTGGTTTGAGCTCCAGCCTGGACTCTTCTGTGAAGACATCACTGACCCCTTCAGAGAGAGTGGGGCGCTCGCTCCCAGGCCCCTGGGTAAGAAGGTTGCATTACAGCTGTTGCCCCGGGTCCCACAGCCCCCCTTGCGAGGCTGGCAGGACAGTGGCTAAAAGGTGCTCACTAACGGCTTATGAGAGGAATTTGTTCTTGCTCGTGAAATACTAGGGCTTTTAAATAAAAATTACATGGCAATTGGGAGAAAACGATAATTATGTCTAATCCTGAAGCGCTGTGCAACCCTGCCAGGACTTTAAGCTCTGGGGACAGGTTGTCCTGAAGGATGTCGACTATTGTAGTCCATTCTCATGAGTCTCCCACAGGGACACTGGCAGCTCCGTGGGAAGGAAGCACATCTTTCCACTCTTTACCTGTCACGAAAGTAGCACGTTGTTCCTAAATGCCAGGCGAGTGAGTGGTAGTGATGGAAATGCAGAAGGTATGAGGCATGGCATCAGATTACAAAGGCAGGGAGGCGAGCATCACATTAAAAAGGCTGGTTAAAACACATACCTGTGACATGCAAAGTTATCACTTAGAATCAAAGAACAGATAAAGAGCTTCCCAGACAAGAAAAAGCTAAAGGAGTTCATCACCACCAAACT